TAGTGAGGAGAACTGCAGCGTGGAGAGGGGAACAACAGAGTGGGCGACCAAGTGAAATGGGTTTCTGAGCAAAGAAGAGGCCATGTACCATCAGAATCACCCAACAAAGTTTTGTTTTCTTCTCGGAGCAGATACTTTGACTTGTGGAAGACACCCCTCACCTCTGAGCTCCGTCTGAAGGGGAAAACGTAACACAGGAGTTTTCCCACATGACTAAATAAAGATGTTCTATCTTGTTTTAACTGACTTAGTAAAATTAAACAAAAATTGAGAGTGCAATGCCAGATCTCCAGAAAGACATTCCCACATTCCACCATAATGCCTGAGATTCAATTATCAGACAAGGCGGCATTTTCACAGCCCATGTCTGGGCAGTAAATAAGTTTATCATCAAAGCACAGTTAACGTGATTACAGCTTGATCAGATCATTGTTGGAAAAAAATAAGGAACCCATGATAGCTGGTTTGTGGCAGTGCATTACAGGCCACCAAACTATAAAAAACCCCCTCCAGAAACATGGCTTTTATTTTTACTGTACCCTCATGTGAAAGCAGCTTTGAAGCTCAAGATTTTAAAGATGCTGCACAAATTAAGAAAGTTGATGTGGTTCATGCAGCCTGATAGTGATCAAGTTACTTCACAGTCACAGATTAAAGGCTCAATCTTCAAACTCTAAATTGTAGAGTTAGAAAAAATGCCAATCTGGGATATATTTCTGAGCTTGTCCCAAGGCCTGGAATGAGGCTGAGGGTTTTATCCAACTGACTGGCTGAAGTTGTTCATCTCCAAAAGATGCTAAAGTGTGTAGCATGTTTTTAGACTGGGTGATAAATTTTGACCCAATGTTTTGGTTCCAACTACCCCGCTCCTGCCTCAACAGCACAAACTCACTGTCTGAGTTAAAGACCCAGCAGATTAGACAAAGATGCTGACGAGGACCAGAAAGGGAGCACACATTGCATCTCTGCACTAGTATTAAAAATGACATTGTTAAACTTATGAGAGTCCAGATGTCCTTATCTAAGCTGCAAAGTTGTATTTATGAGAAACTGCAGTTCAACGTACCAACAATTCAAGGCTGTATCTGTTTTACTTCAGAATCACCACAGACATTTATCTGTTGAGATTAAAATAGCAAAAAGCAAAGCTTCTAATTTCAATTTCTGCAACAGTGCCAGTGACTATATGTCTAACTTCTCTTTAAAATCTGGAAAAAAAAAAAAATTAAAAAGCAGCAAATTCCTTAGCTATTTCCTCTGAGACGACTGAAACACAGATTGTGTGGATTAGCAAAAAAAAAAAAAAAAAAATGCTTACATGTTAAAACATTTTCCCCTTCTCTTTAACACACACACGTTCACTCACAATCACACTGGGAGTCATGGAGGCCATGCGGTGGAGTGTGTGTGAGCCCCAGCTGAAAGA